TGTGAAGACTGCGCTGCGTCGCCACGTCCCTGAGCTCGGCGGGTCTCAACCTTTTTGGGCACCGGGACCCATTGGCCAACATGAACGGGCAGTCCCGACTCCGCGCCCCTCGCTCCTGGCCCGCTGCCCTCCAGTGTGTGGGGCGGGGGGGTCCAGCGGCCCCTTGTAGGCTGGGGCTCTGTGAGCCTGCAAGGCAAAAGACACGGTTTCCCCCACTCTTTTGAAGGAGAATCTGTTTTTAAATCGTTCCGGCCCTTTCGTATATTCTTGCGACCCACTTTTGGGTCGCGACCCACAGGTTGAGAAACGCCGCCTCACTGATGCTGGCGTGCTCTGGACCGGTGCCTGGAGCTAACTGGGCTGCCTCGAGATCCTTTGAAGGGTCCTGCAGGAGGTACAAGGAGATAAGCAGATAAGGGCAGGCTGGGCTCTCCCCGGCCTCCCGCTGCCCGGCCTCTCTGCAAAGAGATCGGCACTCTCGTAAATAGATTCGTTTTGAAATGGGGTGCAGCTGAATTCACAGAGCTTGTGAAGGGGTGCTCCGAGTCTAATCAGGTGTGCAGTCAGTCTGAAACGGTTGAGAACCGCTCCTGTAGATTGTAGGGTGGCTATAGTATAAACGCAGCATTCAGTCCATGTAAGGCTCTTCATGTAACGGCATACCCCGGTACTGGAAAAAGGATGTGTACTTACTTACTGGAAGTATGGGCTTTAATGAACTCAGTGTCAACATACTCATTGGCTATTAGAGTAGCCTGTGCCAAATTTTTTGCAGCTAATTAAGACTGCTTACCTTGTTTTGCAGGGTGCTTTAGGCCTCAATAGCTGTTTTGAGACTGGAAGGCCTTAGTTTAGAGCTGCTTTGGGAAGCCTGGAGGTCTAGTCAGCTTCGCTTATGATATAGCTAATTGTACGATGATGTTACAGAATAGATGGCAGGACTGAATGATGCACTAGCAGCTATGTGGAGAATGGGTATTTATCATAATTTAACAAGTTGGGACTGGTATTATGTTAAGCGGTTAAGCAAATCACCGATAGAGATTTTGGGGGCCGATACTGAGCCTATTTTTAAGGAGGTGTATCGGCCAATACTGATCTGATTTCTGATACAGCTGAGTCCGGCAGGTAAGTCTGTTATGATGGAAAGGGGGTGGGGGGCAGATCAGTGCCCCCCATGGTGAGTGGGGCAGGGGAAGATGCTGCCCAGCTGTGTGGGGTGTGGGACGGAGCTGCGGCTTGTGCTGGGGGCGGGGGCGGTTCCTGCCACTGCGTGCACCCTGGGAGGGCACAGGGAGGGGGGTGACATGCCCCTGGGTGTGTGTGGGATGGGGTGGGTGGGCTAAAGCCAAGGCTGCGCCAGGCTCTTCTTGGTGGGGATTGGGCTTGGGGTGGGTGGTGGTGGCGCTGGGAAGGGGTGGGGTGTTGCATCCACCCCAAATTTCGCCATAGCTCCCCCCGCTCCCAGCGGCACCGCCTGCCTGGTGCAGCCCCGGCTTTTGCCAGTGCATGGGTGGAGGCAGGGTTTGAGCTGGGGATGCGCCAGGCAGGCGACAGCAGTGCTGGGAGGAGGGGTTGGGGGTTATGGTGAAATTTGGGGTGGCTGCAGCACCTAGCCCCCCCACCCAGTGCTGCTGCTGCCTGCCCTGAGCCCAGTCCCCACCAAGAGGAGCCCTGCGCAGCCCAGGCTTCAGCCTGCAGCTGCAGCCCCACTGTCCTGCCTCGCGCAGACTCAGGGGGCACATACCCCCTTCCCTATGCCTCCCTGGATGTGCCACAGCTCTGTCCTATGTCTCGTCCCTCCCTGGCTGGGCAGCGCCTGCCCCAGCCCCTGCCTCGCTGTGGGGGACGTTGAACTGCGGCCCCCGCAACGCCCCTTCCCTCTTCCCCTCCCCTTCTACCACAACAGACTGACCAGCTGCACGTAGCTCTCCAAGCTATCGGCCTGTGCTCCTCGCTGCCTGTGGCTGCGCGCGCCCATGGGTGTTTATCCGGCCGATTTCCAATTTCCTTCATATTGGTGCAGATCTGATATCAGACCAATGTATCAGTGCACCTCTACAAATTGGGTACCTATCTGATATGCATGTAAGTGAAGTACACAATACAAATAAAAGCATATTAGGCACTGAATTATAACAGTTTGTTGAAATGGGGTAACTACAGTGCTGCTAAAGGTTTTGAGAGAGATTTTGCATGTGCTTTTTAAACTTAAAATAGTGACCAGGTATGGCATATCGCACACTCGAAAGTCTGTTTTCTGAAATTCTATCGTTAACTTGGCAGATTTGATGAAAAGGAGAATGTGTCCAACTGCATCCAGTTGAAAACATCAGTCATTAAAGGCATTAAGAGCCAATTGATAGATCAGTTTCCTGTTATTGAACCATGGCTAAACCAAATTATGCCAAAGAAAGACCCTGTCAAAATAGTAAGATGGTAAGTTTCTCTTATAATCTAAGTTTCCAAACTGCCGTGATATTTATTTACTTTGTTTTTTACTATGCTTCACTGAAACACAATCTGTTTTGAGAAGCACTTTTCTCTTGGGCATTCTAGATATGAGTGCATGTAAGGTCTTTAATTTAACATATGGTATCTTTTGGATACTGGACATCACAACAATTTGGGAAGGTTAATTTATCAAGTGATCTGTAGAACCAAAATACCATTTGGTGGGAGATTTGCTCTTAAGGAATACTGGATATAATTATTCTAGAGAATCTCTTAGCCATGTACAAAAAAAAATCTTCACATCTTATTTGCTCTTATGTGGATAACTAGATATGGGAAGAGTGCATTAGGGGGAAGTGGAAAGCTGGAGAATCTCCAGGACCAGCATTTTGCTTAAACAGTACCCATACATACGAATTGTTTTAATTTGTAGATGTGGAAGGTTTAATATTTAGATGGAGGTTCCAGGAGCACTTCTTCCCCCTCTCCCTCCCCTCCACTTTTGGACTTCTGTGTATGATTCAGTTGGTTCTATTTTTATACAATGTCTAGTATATTTGTGCTTGCTTTTCACTATAAAATGTTAAATTTTTATAAACAGAGAAACTAAACTAAGTGACTGAAGGGATGTAGGGGGTGTATATCATTGCTGAGGAGAGAGTATATTGAAGGACACAATATACAAAGTTAACAAGAAAATTTGTGTCTTGCTGTGCATCCATGAGATGCAGGAAGGATTGATTTCTATGAAATATTCTGTCAATAAACATTACCCTAAAGGATTAATAGACTATTAGAATAACTCTTTTATCTTGCAGCCATGAACATATAGAAATCCTCACAGTAAATGGAGAATTGCTGTTCTTCAGGCAAAGAGAAGGGACTTTTTACCCGACGCTAAGGTTACTTCACAAATGTAAGTCTACTGGGCATTGCCAGAGGGAACATAGTGTCTGTGAGGTACTTGGGTAGCTGCTGTAATGACCATAGGTCACAAAACTTTCAGTTACATCTCGTACTTAAAACAATAAAAAACAAATACAGGAATGGCTCACTTCAGTAACATAAAGGTGAAAAAAGACCCACCACATCACTTAGGTCTTTCTGGTCAATGCAGGTTTGTCCCCTTTAGAATTTTTGTACAGTTTTGGGCAGTTAAATTCTTAAATATCCAAGTTTCCAAAATTTCGTTGGATTGAAAATAGTGATATTTAAGAACTATATTGGGCAGAGCATTACAGAAATTCTTGAGAGAGATTTTTCCTGCAATTTGGTCTAAACGTCCTATAATTTCATCTCCTTCTTGGATGTGTCCTCTTTTATTCTGTCCAGTGTTTTGTTAGAACCTTTTTTGTTTCTTTTAAATACTTGTAAGCGGCTACCACAAAACATGCCCTTAAGCGCATTTTCCATGGAGAAGGGATGATCATGTTCTTTCTCTTCTTGCCCCTTGTTCTGAAACATCTGAATCCATGCCTTGGATACTTTGGCTGCTCTTCGCTATATTTCTTGTTTATATTATCCTGGTAGCAAAGGATAACCTTGCCAAGAGAACCTAAATTCAATGGGATTTCAGCTTGTAAGTTAGGCTCTTCTGGACAATTCTGGTAAAGTTTTCATAACTCTTTGCAATATTCTAAGCATGGCTTGGCAAGAGTTAGCTACTTCTATGGCACTTGTCTTTCCTTTCCACTTCTCTCTCCTTCTGAATCTTTGCAAGCTTCACAGTTTGGATCCTGACAAATTTAGGCTTTAGCTTTTGTTCAGAAGAGGACTTGTTTTTGTGAGGTGACTGTAGCAGTGTTAAGCACTTACGTAGCAGTGCTGTCAGGAAACCTTACCAAAATTGTTGCCTTTTGTGTTGATCTATGTGGGAGACTTGTGTTTGGCTGCTTTCCTGGTCTCCTCCAACAATATGGAGTGATAAATCTCAAATTTCTACTGCTCTAATACCTTTGATTGCATGTAGACCGTGGAGGTGTTTTGCACACCCATTCAGAGACGTGAATAATTGATGTTGTGGTGATATTTAATACTTGATTTCCTTCCTCCCCTATCCTTTCTAGATCCTTTTATTTTACCACATCAACAAGTAGATAAAGGAGCCATTAAATTTGTACTCAGTGGAGCTAATATAATGTGTCCTGGCTTAACGTCTCCTGGAGCAAAACTTTATCCTGCTGCTGCTGATACGGTTGTTGTATCCTTTTTTGGTCGGGTATACTTTGTTTGCCATGATACAAGAGAATTTTCTACTTGTGTATTCAATATTTTAATATGAATTGCAATTACTTTTGTTTTTTGCTAACTTGAGTGTCTAGTAATTTGTTAAGGGGTAGAGGCATTGCACCATTGTTGCTACAGAGTGAATGAGTTGTTTGGGTTTGGGGACACAGGAAAAACTGTAATAATGAGGTAACTTTTATCTAAATGCTCACAAACAGCCAGGGTCCTGTTTCACTAATCTAAAACAAATATCTTGATGGACAAATTGGCCCCAACATCAAATCAGTCAAAGCAGCATAAAAGCAAGAAAGGAGAGATTGAATTTACTGTGTAAAAGCCAGTGAGAAGATACTGGTCATAAGCCTTGCTCAGCCATATAATGAAGAGATCCTGATGCCACTGAAGTTGACATTGTTTGTAATTAATCTCATTGGCGCTGGGAATTTGCTCCATGCTGCCTGCTGGACTCCAGCATATATGAAGGGGAAAGGTGATAGCTAGCCTTGATGATCTCAAATGCCTCTAATGTTCTGTAGCTTTTAGTAAGTCTTTTTTTAAAGCAGGGTTAGTTAGCATCTCACAGTGTTGGCCCTGATGAAAATGAAGATTTATCTGACTTATTTATGGGTAATGTTTCATTTCTGTTCTCCTGACAAGGAAATCTAAAATGATGTCCCAGGTATAGGTACGTTATTTTTCTAGGAGGGGAAAGGAACATTGTTTTTTCTCTGTTGGGCAGAGGAAGCAAGGATGACTGTGTTACGTTTTATATAATTCTTTGATTTGTCATTTGAAGATGATAACAGCTGCAGGTATCTTGTGCATGATGATTTGGCAGTCTGATATACTTAAGCATTCATATTCTCAAATATTTTATGTTAAAGGGGCAAGAGTTCAATTGCACTCCTCGGCAAGGTATTTCTTCTTTTGTTGCTTTTACTTTGCAGCAAGATACTGTTCTTTAAAATCCGTTTTCCTTAGCTATAGCATGTAGGCAATAATGGCAGAAGGAAAACAGCATGCACTGTGTGTTGGAGTCATGAAGATGTCAGCTGAGGACATGTAAGTCTTACAACCTGCTGTTTGTCATAATCCTCTGTTCTTTGTGGAATGGAGAGATTGTAGTAAGGGTTTCTAAGTTGTTTCTGCACCACCATCTTTTCAAATACAAAACTCATTGAGGCCTCTCATGGGAGTCATTTTAAGTATGGGGAATAAAAAAAAAATATTTTCCCTCTATCTGCAGGATAAAATCTCAGACTGTGTCTGTGTATGCCTTTTGTTTGAGAAAAGTGGAGAATAAAGCTTTTTCTGTCACTTGACTGGTATTGGCTTGGTAATTTCCATTGCTTGACTTTTTTTGTCAAGAACATGGAGCATCTCTGCATAGAATGCTTGTTAGTTACCTGATGGGATATTGCGTGCTGAGTAAGAGCTGTAATTTAGGATCTAGGAGAGTGATTCCTCAACCAGGGTGCCATGGCAGACTGGGTATCATTGACAGCATTTGAAGGGTGCTGCTGGGAAAGAGGAGATAAGGAAGATAAGCACAGACTCTGGTGAGGAGATAAGTATAGACTCTTTCCTTCCAGCTACTCCTTTCCCCTGCCCCCTCCACTGTAGCACAGGCTTTTCCATGCTACCTGCTTCTCTTTCTTCCCAGCCCCTCTTCAACCAAGTAAGTGCTATAATAAATATAGTTTTTGAAATTGGGGAACTGCTCAATTTATAAGTTATGGAGGGGTGCCTTGAGTCAAAAAAAAAAAAAAAAAAGAGGACCACTGATTTAGGAGGCTGGAATCCATCATGCTGATGTTATTGTGCATGCAAAGATTAGGAGTCCCACTGGCCCTTCTCTGCTACTTGTCCTTATTCTCTGTTCTGTACCTTGTTCATCTCCTTTGCATGGCATTCATCCTTGTGCTGATTAGGTAGTTTGGCTAAGCTCTCCTGAAACTTAGAGGCCCATTCAAGGGAGAAAATGAAGGGGAAAAACCTACCAGAGGAAGCATGAAAGAGAATGTGAAAAGAAAGGGGACATTTCTTCTAGTTGTCAAGGCAGGCTGAGGAAGGTATCTCTTATTTCTGAAGTACAATTATTGTTAAATTTCCAAAAGTGCATAAGTGACTTGGGACTTTCTCCCTATTTGCTTATTTAATACTTCATATGTTTATACTGTCCTATAAACAGGGACTCCCCCAATGCCTGCTGGCCCCCCCGACCAGTTTGTGAACGGCCACTGGATCCCTCATCCTTCTCTTGTGGCGACTGAACAGGTTCAGGTCCCTTAGCCTCTCCTTGTAGGGCCTGCCCTGCTGACCCCTGATCATGCGGGTGGCCCTCCTCTGGACCCTCTCTATGTTGTCCACATCCCTCCTGAAGTGCGGCGCCCAGAACTGCATGCAGTACTCCAACTGCGGCCTGACCAGTGTTGCATAGAGGGGGAGGATCACCTCCTTGGACCTGCTTGAGATGCATCTGTGGATGCATGACAAAGTACGGTTGGCCTTCCTGACCGCTTCCCCACACTGTCGGCCCATGTTCATTTTGGCATCAATAATGACTCCAAGATCCTTTTCTGCCTCTGCACTGACGAGAAGGGAGTTCCCCAGCCTGTAGGTATGCTTTGTAGGTATGCTGCTGGAGTGACGAGAAATGACGGTCACAAGCTGGCAGAGGGTAGATTTAGACTAGATATCAGGAGGCGCTACTTCACTGTCAGGGTGGCTAGGATCTGGAACCGGCTTCCAAGAGAAGTAGTGCTGGCTCCTATGCTGGAGGTCTTCAAGAGGAGGTTGGATGAACATCTGGCAGGGGTCGTTTGACCCCAGAACTCTTTCCTGCCATGGCAGGGGGTCGGACTTGATGATCTGCTCAGGTCCCTTCCAACTATGAAACAGCCCTGAGACATGGGTAGATACTGCAACTTAGGGGAAGTTGCGTTCCGGTCCCTGGTCTGCAGTGACTTTGGCAAGTCATTGAACATCTTTGGAGCTAGAGCACAGATTGCCTACTTGCTAGCTCAGCGCTTTTAACAGCTGACACTTCCCTGACCCCAAGAGATAAGTAGAATAGAAAGGAGAAACGAAAATAAAGAAAAGGAGACTGGACATAACCCAGACACTGTGCAGGGTTACGGCTGTGCTTTGTTTCATCATCTGCTGTTGACTTTTACTGTATTGATGTCCCACCATTTTGGTGGTTGTGCACTAGAAAGCAATGCTGGAAGGTTGTTAATTGCTTACGGTTGGGCAGGTTAGTAGATTAATGGGGCAGTTGCCCTCAAAGTGAAAGTCTCCAGAGGTCCCCATTCTAATTCTGAAACCTGGAATAATTGTGTGTGCTGACCTGTTTCTGATTAGCGGTAAAATCCTATGCATCACCTATTTTAAACTAATGGAGAGGAAATTAATGCAAAAGGCATGATTTTTGTTACTCCGTTTTGATTTCATGTAATACTTTAAGCAACAATAATATCACATCTCTAGCACTGGGCAGATTTCAGGTGCTTTTGTTAGTGCTTGTAATTGACTTTCAGGGGGTAGTTACCTTCATTTTACAAATAGGAAGCTGTTGTGAAGTAGTTTGTTTGTAACCATGGTTTTGGTAGCTCAGCTGAAATTAGAACTTGCAAATGCAGGATTCCAGTGATGTGTTCAGTTTGAGACCATGCCACCGAGTGTTCTATCAGTTGATTTTAATTTAGTAGAAAATAAGCAAGTATTAGAGTTGAATGAGTAACAAGATGCCCTCGAAGGTGCAGTTACAAATGGCTATGGTGACAAACAAACCAAATATGGCCTGATGGTGACTTAGATTGCAATAGATAAATATCACAGGCTGTTTCATACAAAGGAATTATTAACTGCAGACCTTTTTAAATGTTATAAGAAAGCAACAAAGTTGTGATATTGGAAGAAAAGTTCAAAGGTAGTTTGAGGTAGAGGTATGTATTAAATCTAGTGTACAACCACACTGAAGAGCTCAACCTTGGACCCTGTGTTGGCCTTGGCTGTCTGAGCTGTTGGGGTCCTTAATTATAAGTGAAAGATTTAATTCTATACAAGTCAGAAGCCCAGATTTAGGTCACTAGGTAGAGGGATGATCATAGGTCACTGCTGCTGCTTGATGCTTCATTAAGGAGACTAAAAACATGGGCTTTGGAGGACACTGCACATTTCCCCCTTTTCAGCAAGAAAGGATGATGATGCCGTAGAAATTTAGTATGGGAAGGGGCATATAGATCCACAGGCATATAGAGCTATGCACTTTATGGACTGAATGGAAGTCCATTTGGTGACACAAATAACCTGATTGGTAAAACTGTTCACCTGAAGTGAAACCTAAAGTTGTTCATTGTTAAGGATGCAGTCTTTGCTCTCCTTTCCTGCAACACTCCACTGCTAAAAAAAATAATTGGGAACTTAAGCTTATCACCAAACTTTTTCTGTCTCTGGTGTATCATCCATTTGATTCCTACCTCGAGGTTTATTTTTCCATTGAGTACTTTTAAGGTACTTAAAGGCAAGTTCAGGATATGTTGAAAAGGTGGTATACTGTTTTTAACAGAATTGCAAACTAATAAACCTGCCTCTACACTTTTCCCTTCCTTTCACAGTGAGAAAGTCAACAAAGGGATTGGCATTGAAAATATTCATTATTTAAATGATGGCCTTTGGCATATGAAGACGTACAAGTGAAACAAAAGAAACTGTGCAACTCCAAAGGAATGCACTTAGATTAAATGTGGACTGCTTCGTAACTCCTTCTGTTTTTAATGTGACTGAATGTACAAATTATTTTGTTCTGTGGCTATGCTAAATAAATCAAGTGAATGCTAACGTATTGCTAGCTGCAATAGTTTTCTAGCATTTATTACAATCCTTGAGCTTTTATGCTAAACCTATCTTCTCAACATTTTTGAAGATTTAAAAAAAAAAAAGTGCATTCATGAACGTAAATAGAATATTTCCTGTGAAGAGGAGAAGTCAAGAGAGAGAATTCAATGCTCTTTCCTAGCCGAGTAATAAAAATTGGGTGTAGCCTATATCCTAACACTGTTCCACAACTCATTTGCCTCTGGTAACAGATGATTTAGATTTAGATTGTCTGTTATACAGTTCTTAAATTTTGAACATATAAAATAGACTTTAAAAAAAAGCCTTATACTTTGTTAAATATGATTTAATTTATTGTTAAACATTTATCAGCTTGAGTAGATTTATGTTAATAGTTTTGTTTTCATTTCAAGATGCAGGCAGTCTATAGGATTTAAAGCAAATGCACTGTTTATAGATGTGACTTTCCTCTGGGGGTTCATATTTGGGAGATACAGGGTGTCATTTACAAATCCTCACTTATTACACAATGTTTGAGACTGACCAATTTTCAGAGATAACAGATTTGTGGTGGCAGTGGGCAACTTTTTAATGGCTTCTGTTTTTTTAAGTACTAGCTAGTTGCCTAATAGACTGTAGGATCTTTACATGTTTTGTGTTGCTGTCCAGCAGATATGATATCAAACCATAATGATAATTGTTTTACAGAAATTATTAGTATTTCTGGGTCAGGTTTTGAAATGGATCTCAATTAGACTCCAACTTAACCCAACTCATGAATGGTCAATGATTAATTTACTTCTGTATACATACAGAAAGAGGCTGCATCCTGGATCCATTTCAGAAGGTAACTTTGTAACCACTCACGTAATAACTACATGGCTTTGGAAGGATTTATAATTACAAATCTGTAACTAATAATATTAGAGATGCAGGTTTTAATGTTTATGAAGGAGCTTTTATGTTGTCTGCATGGCTATCACAGTATACTGAGATCCTTTCCCAAGAACTAGTGACAGAATTACCCTTCACTTATTCTAAAGTTTCCTTAAATATATTACCTAACATGCTACTTAGAATCTTCAAATCACTTTAAAGAATTTACTTCCAAAAAGAAAAGTTTAAGTGCTCTAGCTATCCATTAGCAAAGGAAAAGGAATGAAAGCTAGAAAACTATGGTGGTTACCACAGCAGCACTGGTGAAAAAGAAAAGTTCTTTTTCATACTAACTTCTTATTTTAAAAGAGAGGTACATTTGGTCTTCAAGTTGCATAATAAATCTTCACTGACCCTTATGAGTATGTGGGATTATATTATGTGCCTCTGTGAATTCATTTCCGTCTGCACTAGTGAATTTATGAAGCCAGATTTTTTTTTTTTTTCCCCCTTCCTAATATGAAAACCTCTTAAACATGGCAGTGGGGTAGACTGTTCTCTTCTAGGGGAGAGTAGAGTTAACTTTTCCCCTTTTGACTCCTGTTGCTGTAGTGGGACTATTTCTTTCTTATTAATGTTAAAACTAAATCTTCACTTAAGGCCGGGTAAAGGAAGCAGGGGTTAGAGGAACGGACTATAAGGTGGATAGAAAACTGGCTGGATCATTGGGCTCGGAGGGTATTAATGGCTCGACATCTAGTTGGCAGTTTGTATCAAGTGAAGTGCCCCAGGGGTTGATTCTGGGGCTGGTTTCATTCGCTATCTTCATCGGTGACTTGGAAGATGGGAAGGAGGGGTTGCACCCTCAGCAGCTTTGAAGATGACACCAAGCTGGCGGGAATAGTAGATATGCTGGAAGGTAGGGCTAGGATTCAGAGAGACCTCAACAAACTGGAAGACTGGACCAAAACAAATCTTGTGAGGTTCAATTAGAAGTGCAAAGTCCTGTGCTTTAGGGTGGAACAATCCCATGCACCATCGGTACAGGCTGGGGACTGTTTGGCTAAGCAGCAGCTCTGTAGAAAAGGATCTGGGGGGTTACATTGGACAGTAACTGAATGAGCCAACAGTGTTCTCTTGTGAAGAAGGGTAACAGAACACTGGGCTGCATTAGTAGAAGTGTTGCCAGCAGATTGAGGTAAGTGATTCTTCCCCTCTATTCTGCATTGGTGAGGCCACATCTAGAGTACGGCATTCAGCTTTGGGCCTCCTGCTATAGAAAGGCCGTGGACAATTTGGAGAGAGTCCAGTGGAGGACACCAAAAATGGTGAGGGGGTTGGGGGATGCGATTTATGAGGTGAAGCTGAGGGAACTGAGTTTATTTAGTCTGGAGATGAGAAGACTGGGCGCAGATTTAATAGCAGCCTTCAAGTGCCTGAAGAGGTTCAAAAGAGGATGGAGCTGGACTGTTCTCAGTGGTGGCAGACAACGGAACAAGGAGCAATGGGCTCAAATTGCAGCAGGAGAAGTTTAAGTTAGATATTAAGAAGAACTTTCTCACCAGGAGGGTAGTAAAGCATGAGAACAGGCTACCCAGAGGTGGTGGTATCTCCATCCTCAGAGGTTTTTAAGACATGGGTAGAAAAAGCCTTTGTTGGGATGATCTAGTTGGGGGATGGTCCTGCTTTCAGCAGGGGGCTGGACTAGATGTGACCTCCTGAGGTCCCTTCCAACTCTAATTTTCTATGATTCTATGAAAGGGAGAGTTAACTAGGCGTGTCCCTACCCAAGAGATTCTTTTATCAGTAACTCAGTTGAATTTGTTCCAAAGTGTCTGCAAGCAAATAATTTAAAGATATCAATTTGAAAGTACAGCCCTCATTATGCTGCTTGAAACTAGGTGCAAGCTAGGCCTTGGATTATAATGTGGCTTTACCCATTAACATTAAAAACCTGAGTGAAGAAAACAGCTACTCAACCAATCCCTGGTAAAGATGCCAGCTCTAAAAGGGCTGCCTTTGACAGTTGCATATTCTGTGTCGCTGGGGTAAGAGGGGTAAAATATGGCAGCTACTCATAATGATGTTGGACACTTACAGAAGAGGTTCACATGGCTGAGGCGATTCTACAACCAACAACCACTACCTACGGTAGTGTCTTCGTATTCCAAAGCAGTGACAGAATCTTCATCTTGTGGAACTGCTGTGGGATGGGTAAGTGACTTTTAAATGGAAGAAATTTCTATTTGGTGCAACTTACAATTATTACAGGGGACTGTAGTGTTTGAACCTGCTCAAATATTAAGTTAATGTGCAACTGAACTAAAAGCAACAGCAGTGAGTTCCACACATGAGCATGTCTGTTAGACTACACACCTTCTTTTAAATGGATCTAACAGTCAGGCTGCAACTGGAAGCTGTGCTTTTTTCTAATTCTTGCATAAGCCATAACTTTTAATGCATTTCAGTAGACTCTAGCTCCTCTTTCCATAATACCATCGATATCATATTCTTAAAAGGAGTGAGAACTTTTTTGCTATTATGTAAACCAAAGTCACACAAAGCTACCCAGTAACATGGTGTTAGTCTCACCATAGTTGCAATTCAAAGGAATCCTGAAGATTTAATTAATGAACATGTATAAACACTATATGGCAAACTGCAGGGGTTTGGGTTTGTACATGAATGGGTTATTAAAATGGTTTTTACTGTTTTGTAATTGAATCACTCTTTGAATCTAGATGCATCATCATTACATTAAGAATCTCTCAAAGTCAGAGGTATGAGCCAACCAATTAGTAATTTATAAGATCTATAGATAAAATGGACTATGAAAATGTAGCTACAAAAACTGTCACATGAGAGAAGTGACAGGAAACAACAGCTGCATTATTTCCTCTCTTATAAAATGTATATGTTTCCATTAACTTTCACAGATTTGAGTGTTATGAGAAACCAGCTTTGATCACCGGCTGAAGCTGGCTTTGTCTGAAGTTTCTTGTGTACCAGCACTTGAAGGCTTATATGATGATAGGAAGACCCTTTTTTAACATTTTTTTGTAGGGAGCAGGCAGACAGAGTTAGAAAGTAAAATTGAACTGTATCACAGCAGTTGTAAAAATGAATTAAAAAATTCTAAGATGTGAAAGTAGGTCATAATCAGGTTCCACGTAGTGCCATTAAGCTTCACAGCATGTTACCTATTTCTCTGTGCTATTATCAGTAGATCTTGCCAGCTTACAGTAATACAAAGAAAGCCCCCTTTAATCCTCTTGCTTCTGTAGTCATGGCCTTGATCTTTTTATAGAAGTGTGAATCCACCATGTTTGGCCGGGCACTTATATGAAGGTGCTGATAGACCTAAAGTCATTTCCAGTAATTATCCTGAGGATGGGAAAAGGTACACGTGTTATGGGACAGAAGTGAGGAGTACTAATGCAGGTAATGTCTATTACAATATGGAATGAAAGGTGTAGCAGTAAAAGCTTCAACTCTGTTACCTTTAATTGGAACACAAGGTTTAACCATTTCAAGCTTCCACAGCCAATAAAATGCCACAACTCTCTTCCAAGAACAATCCCTGAACTGAGGAGGAACAAAAACCAGATTTCTTTTGTGCAGATTATACCTCAACAGCACATAGGGAAAACAAACAGGTATTTTAGAAAGGTTCAATAGCAATGCCACACCATCTTAGGTGCATACTCTGATATGCATCTCATGGGAGCGTACATCAAAGCGCACAGACAAGAATAAAGACATGTATGTCTTTCTTTAAAATGAATTCTATCTAGTCAATTGGTGGATACTGCAACCCTGACATAGTACTTTTGAAGTGGCTGTTTCTTCGCATTTACTGTCTGCATAAGAATGGAGTAGTTTGCTATCATGTCAATTCTAGAATACACAACTGCTCCAGGCTCTACAGTGAAAGAGAGAGTTTGAAATTGTACTTTACCAAATCTTCATTTTTGTTTTTATTTGTATGTCATAGAAAGATATAAAGATTTTCAAGAAAATGCCTTGAAGTTCAAAGGATCAAAAATCTTGCAAAAATATATTTAAATTACAGTAGATTAAGATTCATTTGAATTTTCATTTATAAATATGTACATATACAAACACCCCATATAAATTTAAATTTATCACATAAACATTAACAGTACCTTTAACATTTCATTCCAACACTGTCAAAAGCCAGAAACATTTTTGTATAAAAAAAGATTTAGAAAAAAAGAGACCTCCTTTTCTACTTGAGTATTACCAAACCTTGATGTGCAAAAAATATACCCATGCCCTCAAATATGGAAATTGCACCAGCTTGTACAGATGCGAGTTGCATTATTCATTAACCACTGCATGTTCCAACAATGCAGCCATCTTTTCTGCAGAGATCAGTCATTGTCTGAGTCTGCTGGAGGTAAGAAAATTAGTGCATCATTGAAGTCGTGCCCATATGCTCGCAGCCTGTAGACACCGTACATCATTACGTGCATATGATTTGGAGCCAGTCCGTTGAAAGTGATGGCCATGTCGGAACAGCACCCTTCTACTACCTGTTGTGGGTGGTTAGACATTGCCTCTTTGATAAGTGAGCCAACTGATTTGGTGTTAAAGACATCTTTTCCTTCAGAATCTTCTGCATTTTCAGCAAATGCTCCAGTGTACTTCAGACAGACTGCCAGTTGTTTGTCCTCCGAGAGTTTCCAAATCATACCTCCCTGCTCTGGGCACTTATCTGGGTCTTCAAAAACTTTGGAGAGTCTTCTTAGTGACTCAATACTTAAAACAATCCCTCCCTCACCGTCGACATACTCGAGGTCACCTGACTTTACAGTATGACCTATATAAAAAGGCTGTGATGAGTCTTTCTTCAGCAAGAAATATTTAAGATTTTCTATGATGGCAAACGTAGTTGGATGTGCCAGAAAGAACCAGTTGTACTCATCTTTATAGTGGTCGTAGGCTAATTTATAAGCTTTCCTCATCATTGCCCACATGTCGTCTGTGTTAAGAGCGATAGAATCAAACACCTTCACGTTTTCAGAGCTGTAAAATTCTGCCTTGTCGCAGTGTTTGCTCCAGGTTTCTTTCACTGCAGCCCAGTGTCCAAGATCCTTAGGTTTCACAAGGATAATGCAATAAACACGGATGCTTTGACTGAGCTCCACACGCTCCACTTCGGACAGATTGGACACATCTTCCTGGTTCGGAGCTTGGATGTGATGGTGCTCGTGATGACGTACTTTAGTCCAATAACCTGTCTTTATGTGTCCCAGGAACGTGACCAACACGCAGAAGATCCCTCCCAACAGCACGCCTTTCACGAAAGAAGTGCTTTCGGAAATCATTTTTCCTGCAAAGGAGAAACACCTTCGGATATTACACCAGAACTTCTACTAAGGTCTATTCTCCGCAGCATTTCGAACTGTTAACCTGGCAGCGTGGACTCAATTGCTTTCAAGCCGCCCCGCACGGGCAGAAGAGCAGGGGATTAAGCTACCGCTTGCGCGGGAGGTCTGGACACAAATACCTGGTGAAAGAGTTTAAGCTTAACGTTGTTCTGAACCTGGTGCTGCAGCCGCGCATTCATCAAACTCATCTGTATCCTTGGGCCCTTGAGAGGTGGAGCTGCCGCTGTGGGCGACAGGGCGAGGAAGAGTCACTGGAGGAACAAGTCAATGTGGATTCAATGAAGAACCTACTGAAAGGCCAGCAGAAGGTTTCCTTCCTTGACACCGGGGCAGCTGCCCCTCACCTCCGTCCCTGCCAAGGGCCCAGGCTCCCTAGCCCGCAGCTGGTGTCTGTGCAGAGCACTGCGGCGAGACAAGGACCAGGTCTCCGCCACCGAGGGTCTGCCCTGGGTAGGAGCCTGTTTGCTTTTCACCGAGCCTGCGCTGGTGGCGGGGGCCGGGCAGCGCTGCTAGGCCCACGGGGGCAGCGGTACCGGTGACACGGGGCAAGGGGGCCACGCGCATCCACCCCAGCGCTGGAGCAGCCCGTACCCCCTCCCCCCACCCCTCCCCCTTCCCGGCATGCCCGGGGCGGCGGCTGCCTGCCCCTGCCCCTGCCCCTCCCCCTCCCATGGCGCCGCCCACTCACCGGGACCGCCGGACGCACGGGACGAAGTAGGACACCCCACAACCCGCACAGGAAGGCGACTCTACTTCCCCTTCCGGCCACGTGGCGGAAGTGCTGCGGAGCGTCCCTTCTAGTCAACTTCCGGCTTCTACTCGCTGGTCGTGGCGGCCGGGGGGCGGGGCTCGCGTCGGAACCTTTGCACAGCCCCTCCCCCTCCACCACTCGCGCGCGCATCGGCCCGGGCGCACACGTGTGGCGCACCCTGTGCATAGCAGGGACACGCGTGTGGCGCACGCCATGCACACATATGGTGTACCCCATGTGTGGCAGGGACACGCGTGTGGCGCACCCTGTCCATGGCAGGGACACGGGTGCTGTGTAAGTCTAGGCCCAGTAAGTAACTTATTGGCCTCCCTCAGGTGGGGAGGCTGCAGGAAAGGTGACGACTGAGTACTTGGGACAAATAATAATGAAAACAGGGCCAGGAGCAGAGGCCAAAGGTTCAGTGCCAAAGGAGGGGCGGCACTGAGCAGAGCACACTGGCTCTCAAATGCGTCCGAAGAGCCAGTGGACGCTGCCCCGTGATACTCTGCTCGAGACGGGAACGAACAAGGGCAAGGAAAGCGGCCCCGCTGCCTCTGGGGTGCGACAGCATCAGAAAGCTGGTGAAAGTCAGTAGCTGGTAGGAGGTACAGGTGTGACACAGTCTTCAGGAAGAGACAGAAATGGATCATGTCCCGGAGCTGATTGGAAAGGCAGACTTGGACGTCTGAGCGAGGAAACTGCCAGCTGCTACCACGGCAGGGAAACGGCTTGGTACGTGTTCCCTGTTTGTATCCGAGATCCCAGTTTGTGTAATCAGTTTCTTCCCCTAGAAGAAACAGGCAACAAGAAGTCCCCAGGGTCAGTTAAGTGCTTGGGCGAAGGCGGCTCGGCAGTATCAGCATTCTGCTACTGTGGGCATCACACCTGCGCGCGGCTGCTCCTGATCATAGACCCGAGGGGCAGGACCTGAATCGACTGAGGCTGATGGGGGTACGGTACTCTATAAAGCAATCTGGTCGTTGCTTAACTGGGATCATTGCGCTCTTAAAATAGGAGGAGAAACGTTTTGAAGTAATAGTAATGGCTAGATTAACCCCTTCACAAGGTAATCAATCCAACTGCAATAATCGTTCTTAGAGACAGCACTAGGCAAGCGTGCCTGCTTCTCTGCACAAATAGAAGTGTAATTTTTCATACCTGGAGAAAGTAAGGAGAAGACTATAGGAAAAGCCTTTGATAGTTGCAGCGAGTTTGTAAATTGTGACCAGAGTTTGCTTATTTGCAGATAGCCAAACCCCCTCCCCATTCTTTTCTGTGAAGCAGCAGTCGCAGAGGCTTTTCCTGTGCTGTGAGTTTGAAAAGTTACGACAAATTGCAGGGAAAGGCAGAGGAGCTGCTATAAGAAGAGAAAAACTGCCATCTTGTGGTGAGGAGCTGCTCTTACTTTTACTCGGCACAATTTACTGATCAGGGAGGAAACAAACGTCGATCACTTGGGCAGAATCAGCGGCTATCCTGCTTAGAAACCCTGTGACCAGTATCCAATAAGAACTGCATGGTGGTGGGTTATTGTGCACCCTGTTTATTTTATTCTGCTTTTTGCAGGTGTTTATATGACTTGTTGGGAGTGTGGTCTAATTTCACAGCACTGCCCTCTGCTCAAAGACAATGAAAGGGGACAGAGACAGAGGAAGAATTGCCAGTTTTCAAGCAGGTCCAGGATTAAGCCTGCCAGAACGAGCACTGTCTGACTGCCTGCCCTCCGTGCGTAATCCCCACTCCATGTAGCTGAGTCAGCACGAGGCGCTGTGCATCGAATTGCCAGGGGGCAGTTCATCCGCTGGCTTTTTGCACCAGAACAGGCCACAACCAAAAAAAATGGAGTTAATCTTTGAAGCATGAAATAAAAACTCATTTATTAGATTGGCTGGTCTACTGAGGGCTTTCTCTTGAATTAAAGTGACTGATCCTCCTGGAGTTTCTGGAGCAGCCCGGAACTTTAAAAGCTACCTTGAAACAGGACTTTTGTTCCCAAATCACGCTGCCTGTCAAAGTGGGGAGTACGGGGGTGTCAGTGATGAAGGTGGTGCCCCTGCTGATGCTGCTACACACCGCTCTAGACTTCCCCACCTCAGAACAAGTCGTTCACAGAATCCAGAGAGCCAGGTGTGTTTCTTTTGGATCTCCACTTGGGATACAGTGGTGAGGGCCAAGCTGTACAAAGCAAAACGGTCCAGAGGCAGAGGGATGCCAGACGTCCTTCTCTTCCTCTGGGCCAAGTACATGAGCCAGGTTTGCAAACTGGCAGCAGGGGTAGATTCTAAAACAGCCAGCTTTGTTAAGTATTTTGCAGGGCAATTGCTGTGACAGTGGCAAGTGTGCACAGTGACTAACAGGAGCCTGTGAACCATGCTTTCCCCATGGTTTTACAAGATCCTGAAGTGCTTTCGAGAGAAATACAAGCCACACAACGCTACTGTGGTGACCCTGGTGAACCACCGCAAGATATGGCAAGAGACACCACATCACTGGTAGATTTACTACCTGGTGACAACTGCCAGGCTGTGTGGGAGCGAATCTTACTGCTCGAATCCCCAAGGTCTGGAATAGATTCCCTCTGGAAGTGGTGCAGGCACGTACTCTGGACTCATTCAAGAAACGTTTGGATGCTTATCTTGCTGAGATCCTTTGACCCTAGCTAACTTTCTGCCCCTGGGGCAGGGGGCTGGACTTGATGATCTTCAAGGTCCCTTCCAGCCCTAATGTCTATGAAATCTTCCACAAAGACCTGCAGAAGGAGCACAGATACCTGAACTAGCAGGTAGCCCACCAGGCACTTCCAGTGTGGGCATGGAGAAACAGTGCAGGGCAGAGAGGTCCATTGAACTGCCTGAGGCCGACCTGCTGCTGGCAGGCAGAAATGATTGACCACCTCTTCTGGGACTGCTCATATGTCAGGGAAGTGTGGAAGAAAGTCCATGCACTCCTCCTGGTGGTGAGGTTTCAGAAACCTGACCAGGGAAGCAGTTCTCTATGGGCACCTGACCATGGGCAAGGGACCCCAACAGCTTGCTTCGACCAGTTCATATCCTGCTTTAGGTATGCACTGTGGAAAACCAGGAACCTGCTCATAAACAGGCACTCAGACCCCACAGTCGAGGACTGTATTAAAATGGGACTAAGTGAAATGTACTGGTACCACAGGAAGACAGAAGAGGACGATGGGACAGAAATGGCAGACCTCATCTGGTGGACAGGGGTCTGGGATAGACTTTTTCAAGAGTAGACCCTCTGAGGAGGGCAGTGAGTGGGAGTATGGGTGTAGAGATGGGTGTGTGGTTGTGTGGTGTGGACTGTGTAACAGATTTTTAGTGTGGTTTGAGCTGCCAAGTGAATTACAAGGGCCACTTGGCAGAGTGGAGGTGAAGTTATATATGTATGTGTGTGTGTGTGTGTGTAATTAATATATATATATATATATATATATATATATATATTTGCAACCCAACCCCAAAACATTGAAAATTGCCCCCCTACTGGTGCTAGGCATTATTTTGATCAGTGCTGTTCTTTGCACACTGTTGTTGCATAGACCCAAAACTGATCAGCTGCTGTCAATTTTAGGGCTACTAATAGATGTCTGTGTCATGTCCAGGACTGCATCCTAGATTTCTCTTTCTGAAAATTGGTCATTTTAGCCTTTCCTAGCAAATTAACCTACTGTCAAAATGCATCATGGACAGCTGATACAGTGAAAACACTTGCTAATGCAAAATGGGAGAGAACCACCAATTCAATTCAATTCAATTCACCAATTTCAATTCAAACTAATGCTGAGATGTGTACTTGAGAGGATGGTGTGAGCTGGTGCTGATGGATTGACTCCACAGGTGCTGACAGACATGCAGCTCCCTGCTTTAACTCATGGTGCTTCACAGAAAGTGCCATGAGTTAGAGCAACCCGTCCAACCCAACAGATGTTTGCTATTTAGTTGGGGATGGGGGGATTGAGCTTCACTTTGGAGCCGATCCAGCAGAGAGAGGCTGCTTGCCCACCCTCCCAGCTTCGGTGCTATCTGCAGGATGGAAGCTGGGAGAAGGGAGAGGAAGGAGCTTGGGGCTGGGGTTTGCCCAGCCTGAGCTGGAGGGGGAAGGGGCTGGGTGGGGGCCACAATGCAGGGGGGCTCCAATCCACTCGCTTCCAGCCTCAACCCAGCAAACCCCAGCCTAGAGCTCCCTCCCTTCCCTTCTCCTTCCTCCCACCCTGCAGACAACCCCAATCATGTGCAGGGACTAACAGAAGTTAATGAAGGTGCTCCACTTTGGAGCATCTTCATCTAAATTCTCATTAGATGAGGTTTAATTTATTGCGTGATTGGACAATTTTAAAATGCTCTGCAGCCGTGCACTTCTGTCGGCACAGCTATAGAGTGCTTTCAAGGGGGCGATCATGTGACAAATGTCACTTCTGTCAGCACCCTGAGTCTGTTTATTTGCCTGATGACAGTTTTTCTTCTGCAGCACAAGACAGGAAAATTGTGAAATCACCAACTTGCAAGGAGCAAAGAACAGGGGTGGCTAACCTGTGTCATGGGTGCCACAAGTGGCATGGGCAGCCTTTTTATGGGGCATGCAACAGATTAGGGAGAGGACAGGCAGATAGGGAAGGTAGCAGAAAGCAGAGCAGCAGCTCAGTCAGGGAGCAGAAGGGAGGGAGCAAAAGGCAGAGTAGCAGAATGGGCAGGAGAAGGGGATCAGCGTGGCAGTCTAGGAGGGTGGGGGCTAATTTGTGGCCTGGCTGCCCCAGTGGCCTAGGACACTCCACAGTAGCTATCAACAGCCAGGCAGTTGAACAGAGTTACTTGGGAGTGACTTTGGGGTGTAGAAGTAGGGAGTTTGGCTTTGTCTCTTCAGCACATCAGCAATGATGTGACATTTGTGTTACATGTCTTCTTTGTGCTACCTTGAGGGCTCTGCTGCAGTTGTAAGTGAAGTGTTTTTTAAGATCTGTACGGTTAGATCCTGAGTTGTT